CTTTAAGACCAAGTTTTATTCAGGTACAAGCTCTCCCTCCTCTGCCAGGACAGATCTGCACGTTCCCCCCCCCCCATAGCTAGCAATCCAAAACAGTCCAGTGGCACCTTTAAGACCAAGTTTTATTCAGGTACAAGCTCTCCCTCCTCTGCAAGGGCAGATCTGCACGTTTTCCCCCCCTCCATTAGCTAGCAATCCAAAACAGTCCAGTGGAGCCTGAGTGGTGGGTGTTGCCTTCTGACACACTTCCGGTGATGTCAGGGGGTGTGGCATATGCAAATAAGTTATGCTAATAAGTTATGCTAATGAGCTCCTGCACCTCTTTTTCTACGAAATGACCCCTGTATATGACTGTGTTACTGAACTTGGCATTAAATATTATTCTTATACATTTTTGTTTATCTTTAGCCAGTGTTCTTTTGTGCTTTGTATCATTTCATGTACGCTGGTTCCCCTTCTTTTTTGGTTTTCAAAACCCAACAGGTCACCATAGGTGACCATGCCTTGATGGCGCTTGACACACTCACATGGCAATAATTCACAACTAGACTTCCTTGTGTGGACTGAGGTGATTGTTACAGTGCGACAACAGCACACCCTCAACCAATGATGGGTCGGTGCAGCCTTTAAATGGCTTTGAAATAATTTTACAGGTTGTCTATAAAAAGGCATCCTTAGTAAGAATGCTGGACGATTCCCTGGAAAATGAAGGCTTCTTTGGGATTGGCTGGCTCTTAAGTAAGAAATCTGCAAGGAAATTTTGAGCACCCCCCCACACACACACACACACCTCACACCCCACACACACAATCCCCAGTCTCACTCTCTCTGTCTCTGTCCAGTTGAAAAAGATCAGGCGATCCCTCGATTCAATGAAGACCATGAATGATAATCTACTGAAGCAAGAGGAACGGAAGGTGAAGCTGTGGCTGAAGAAGCAAGGACAGGTATCCCCTTTGCCCTCCTATAAAACATTGTGCAAGGTAATGGCCATTTTTTGGCCAGGCCGATCAGGGACATTTTTCACTGGTTTCTAAGAAGCCAGGGACTCAGTTCGGACCTAACACACAACACATGAACACGCATGTAGCTGCCTTCGACGGAATCAGACCCTTGGTCCCTCAAGGTGAGTCTTGCCTACTCAGCCTGGCAGCAGCTCTCGAAAGTCTCCGGCAGAGGCCTTTCACATCACCAATTACCTGATCCTTTTTAAAATGGAGGTACGAGGGATCAAGGTTGCCAGGTAACCAGCGGGGAGTGGGGGGGACTTACTGGGCCCAGCAGGGAGGCCCAGCTTATGTACAGTGATGTGTCTTTTTTTGTCACGGCCCACATGATCCGGATTCCGGAAGTGACATCATCACTTCTGGGATGTTGGGGTGACCCCCTGGTATTTGGGCAAAAACTCTATGGTAAATTAGGCTTCTATCATAGAGTTTTTGCCCAAAAACCACAGTGGCACCACTGATATCCTGGAAGATGGGTAATGATGCTGGACCTCCCTCTTTTTCTGGGTGAGTCCCCCCCCTGCTGCGCTTTTGCTCGCAAGACTCTTCAGCTTAGAGGAAACATTGATCCGGAAGTGACATAATCACTTCCGGGATGTTGGGGTGGCCTGAGCCAGCTCATAGTTTTTCAGCCTCCAGCTCACACATTTTTGTCTTAGCTCGGGAAGGATGGCTCCAGGGCAGACTAAATTATGCAGTAGCCAAATGGCTCGCTCACAACTTTGAAGCCAAGAGCTCAGAAAGGAGAATTTTTGCTCGCAAGACTCCGCAGCTTAGAGGGAGCATTGCAGGCTAGGCTAGGCTTAGAGGGAGCATTGCAGGGGATCCCTGCATTCACCAGGGGATCTGGCAACCCTATGTGAAACTGGGATACAGGTTGCAGATGATTTTGTCTTAGCTCGAGAAGGATGGCTCCAGGGCTCACAACTTTAAAGCCAAGATTCAGTTGACCATGCCTGATTCAGTGTTGCCTCAACAAATGTTGGTTTCTTCAGCTTCACCCTGTAACAGAAAGGACAGAGCTCAGAAAGACTTCACAAATTACATGAAACTATGATCAGGATTAGTTCCAGTTAATCAACCAGCTTCAAACCATGGTTACAGATTCCTGTTTGAGAGACCTTAACAAATCATTGTTAGCGGAGTAGGCCGTGTTCAGTCTCACTAACCAGAGCTACCTCAATTCAATCATGGTTTTGGTTGATGTCTGAATGTAGCCAGTATGTACATATAGAACATTCCATCCCACTGTAGACACACAACCAATAACAGAACCCAGGGTTGGGTTATGCAGAAGAGTGGGTGGGACCAGGGCCGGCCCGAGGTTGTCCTGCGCTCTAGGCGAGCGCAGATGCCAACCTCCCGGCGGGAGACTGCCTTCGGCCGCAATCTCCTGCCTGCCAGCCTCACGGCCACCACTTTCCTCTGGGGCCGCTGGGGGTGCCTGAAGTTCTGTCAATGCCCCCCCCCACAACGCTTTGCCGGCTGGCTGGCCTGCCTGCCAGCCACGGGACTGGGTGCACACAGTCTGGAAAAGTGGGGGAGCAGCTCGTGGGGGCGTGACCGCCGCAGGGGGCCCGGGGAGAAAAGCCAAAGAGACCCCCTCCCTCGCAATCCCCTGAGAGGGCACCCCGCCCTCCTCACCCCCCTCTTGTGCAAAGAGCGCTTGGGCACCCGCTTCCCAGCCACCTGGGTGGGGCGCAGTTTGGCATCCCTGAGGGCCAGCGCGGCCTAGGGGAGTGCCTAGCTCGCCTAGCGGGCGAGCCGGCCCTGCCTGGGACCATTCAAAATATAAAAAGCTTGATTTTCAGTAACTGGATATAAGCCTGTAACGGTATATAGACCGATCATATCCCCAAATGCCCTCTTTCCTTTTTACCATATTTTTTGTTACTGAAAATATTAATATCCCGCCATTGTATCCAAAAAAGTCTGCAAGGCAGTTTAACACAGATGTTTTTTTTAAAAAAACAACAACCAGATGTGGGAAAACCTCTGAGCTTGTGCAGAACTGAGCTCAGGGAAAGCAAGCTACGTCTCCCCAAAAGAGTTTTAAATGAATAAATAGTTCAATTATTTAAAATTATTATTATTTAAGGTTCCCCCTCCATTGTGAATTGCTTACAGTGCAGAAGAAGAAGAGTAGGTTTTTATAGCCGGCTTTTCTCTACCCTGAGGAGTCTCAAAGTAGCTTACAATCACCTTCCCTTCCTCTCCTCACAACAGGCACCTTGTGAGGTAGGTGGGGTCGTGAGAGTTCTGTGAGAGAACTGGAACTGGCCCAAGGTCGCCCAGCAGGCTTCATGTGGAGGAGGAGTGGGGAATCAAACCCAGTTCTCCAGATTAGAGTCTGCCGCTCTTAATCACTATACCACGCTGGCTCTGCTATCAGGCCCGTAGCCAGGATTTTTTAAGCCGGGGGGCATTTAAATTTCTTAGTGGGCACTGGCTAATCGAAATAAAGGGATACCTGGCTCCTTCCCCATGCAAGCCACCATTTGGGGACCCTAGCCTGGATGGGAAGTTGTGGGGCCTTACCAGTAAGTCAGGGGGCCTAGCCCCAAGATGACCCACTGTGGCTATGGGCCTGTCTGCTATTCAATCCTATGCAGTATTACCTGGCCTTAGGGCTGCCAAGTGGGGGCGGGGGGCGGATAAACCCCCACTTCGGAGGCCCGATTCCCGCTGTTGTATAGTAACAATGAAATAGGAGCTGCGGTAATTGTAACTGAAAGTATTATTGTACTGTTAGGACTGGTGACGCGGTTGTCTGTGACCAATTTGTGGTGACAGACCCTCTTGCTGTGTAGTGTGTTCGGCGGTCTGAAGCCTCGGAGACGGCCACTGGTACAACATCATGCTTGAGCAGCAGATTCCAGTGCTCTTGGGGAGGGGGAAGTTCAGCGGTGGGCCTAGGCAGAGTGTTAATGGAAGGCCACAGAGAAATAGGAGAGCTCGGTGTCCTTCCAGCCTACGGCCCATCCCAAGGGTGGCTGGCAGTGGGGCCAGGATGGACCCCCTTCCGGCATTGGTGTTGTGCAACGCCAGGTCCATTAACAACAAAGTCACAACCTTACGGGATTTTGTGACAGAACATCAGGCGGACCTGGCGTGCGTGACTGAGACCTGGGTGAGGGAGGGTGAGACCTTGGCTCTCACACAGTTAGCCTCCCCGGGTTACTCGGTCCTTCACCAATCGCGGAATAGGGGGCGGGGGGAGGGGTGGCTATCCTCATTCGGGAGGCTTACTCATTCAGGGCACTCCCGGCGGTAGAGATCGCGGGCTTAGATTGTGTCGGCGTGCTGCTGGGGGCCGAGGAGAGTTTGGCGATTTGGCTGGTGTACCGACCGCCTAATGCACCGGCCAATAGTCTGCCGTCCCTGCTGGAGGCCGTATCAGGCTGGGCGTTGGACCACCCTCGACTAATTGTCCTGGGTGATTTCAACGTCCATGCTGAGAACGCGGCCTCCAGCCGGGCTACGGACCTGGTGTCGTCTATGGCAGCACTGGGACTCTCGCAGTTCGTATCGGCCCCCACGCATCGGGCTGGTCACATGCTCGATTTGATCTTTGCAGCGGGAGTGGAGGTGGACCGGATCACTGCCGAGGCAGTGCCATGGTCAGAGCACCTGGCCCTGA